ATTATGAAGATAAGGGACTCTTTTTGTTTCAAGAAGATCTGTAAAAGTCAAAACAAGCTCTGTAGATGGAGTCTGCAGCTGTGTGGGTCTCCATATGCCACGTTTGCACCCACAGATTTTTTGCGATTGAGGTTTGGGGGGTCGACAAAGTTGCTTGTGAGAAGGCCTTCACTGTCAAAAATATTCGCTAGTCTTAAGTTTCCCTACTGAACAACCATGTCACGCCCCCCCCCCCCAAATTATATTTAAAGGTCGAGTGAATCTGCTGTTTAATTATACTTTTTTGGCTGTGAGTTTTGCCAAGATCGTCTTACTCTGCAAGTACATTTGAAGTTTTGCAAATTACTCTGCTTTAAATATTATGTATTGGTAAAAACAGAAATGATGAACTTTTGTCTATTTTGAAAGCAAGATGTCTCTAATATCACTGAAAAACGGCCTCAGTGTGCAGGCCTAATGTTTCTGCAGAAGAGATAAAGTGTTCTTTCAGTTCAAGCCAACGTTTTAGTGCATAAGCATAAATCACTGTACACAAACATCTGAAAAAAGTCATGGTTTATATTGGCACAGATTCAGGATTGCTGGTCTAATAACTGTGGCCCCACAGTTCTATGATATTGACTTCATTCGACTTGCACTGTATAGTGTAAATGAGATTAAGATGTAACCTTGAATGAGCCGTCATTGTCGTGTGATTGCTGTAGATGCTCAGCTGTCTGCTGTGGACTCTCTGATTGACTCCATGATGTTGGTAGAAGAAGATGAGAACGGAGAACAAAGAGACTTGTTCAAGCCCCATCGCATTCCCAACCCTGCCTTCCAGAGGCACTTCCAGGTACTGCAGTCCAGATTGCAATAAAGAGATTTAGTGTGGTCTCCTTTTACTTCTGAGTAAAGGAGGCAGATTGCAACTTTTTTTGAAGAAGATGTGGAGTGTTATTTCAGCTTAGACGAAAAAGCTTTCATCTGTCTGACTACAGCTCAACAAGCTAGTAATTGACTATTATTTAGCCAGAATTGCTTCCTGCTCAGTCTCTGTTTGGCTCACCTCTCCTACCATCATTTTAGTGTCTGCACCATCGGGCAGTAAGCCCCGGTACCCCTCTTCCTCCGATAGAGCCATGGCTGAAAGCTGCTCTTGATCGTCCTGAGGTTATTACAGAACGCTGCCAGGATCCACTTGACGTGGTGAAGAGGAAATTTCCTCTCACTGAAGTGGAGAAGAAAAAGAAGCTTAAAACTAGTGCTCAGATTTTTGGCAAAGAGTAAGTTTAGCTTCTGTGACGTGGTGCGTCATGGACAATAATGCATATTGGAAAGGATTATATGACTTATGCTGTTTCATTTCACGGTAGTCTGTTGCAAGATTCATTTACATTTACTGGTTATAAAAATGTTAAAACAACAACAAAAAAAGCAGGATTGACTTTCAAGATATTAACAAGTTGCCATTTTTCATTTGAAGGTCAGAGGAGTCCGAGGCAAAGAAAGTAAAAGAAGACGAAGCAGAGGAGTATAACTTGGCCGACATTGCTGAAGGCTCTGTTACCTCGGTGAGAATCAGGGGGAGGGCTGGACGACTTAATAATCCTAGGAGATGGGCCCGCTGTGGTTGTGCTGCAGCTAGCCTCCTCCCCTATGAATATTTTTTCAATCTACATACAAAGGAACTAAAAGAGGAGACAAATAACAGAAATTAAGTCACACCTGCTCCACTTTGTCCACCATATGTCCCTCCCGCTGGTGCACTTCGCCCCTTTCATGCTTGCTTTTATGCAAGCTCGGTCCTTCCTGTTTGTCTGTCCTATCAGGTACTTAAATGGCTCTTCTTCCATCCTTCCAAAAAACATGCTGTCTTTTGAGATGTGGCAGTATTTTCTGTTGGTGGTTGGGCATTTTGATGATAAAGCTCACTGAACCATTATAGGGAGGAAAATTAGTTTAAGATAAAGTTGTCACATGAATATATTTCCAACACATTGTTCCAGCAGATTGTGTAAAGGCTACAGGGCCTCTTTTATCCAGGACAGTTGATCTCTATTATAAGAGAGGCTGAAAATTTCTTCTACAGCATGGATGAATTAAGTCTTTGGATCTTCTTGATCACATGATAACAGCATCAAGATAGTGGCTTAACAGTTAAACTTAAGTATTTCTGAACATATAAAATGCACAAATGTTCAATTTTGCCGTCTCGTGGAGTGGTGAAGTATCCTGAAAACACCTGGATCCACATGGATGGATATGACAGAAGTTATTCAGATATTCTCGTCAACAAACAAGCAGCAGGACATCACGCAATGTCCTTGATGGAGATAACTATTATCTGTTCTGGATAATCATCAATTTTTTAACTGACACGTTTTAAAACTTCCATTTCATTCCCTAACCAGGTGGGAAGTGTTGACCCAGCTCGAGACTTCCGCGCTTTGATCAAACAGAAAATTCTTCCGTTCGGAGAAGGTGAGCTCCAGAATTTATTTATTTATTTATTGATTTATTAATTTTTTTCCTGCCAGTACTATAAACCGTAATCACTCATGTACAGCCCCTGTAATTATGTTTATCTCTTTGTTTGGTTGCGGTGACCCTTATGTCCTTCCAGTCTGCCAGCAGCTGACTCACAGGATAGAGCAGTTGCTAAGCAACAAGAACACACAGTACTACATGAAAAGCATCACCTGTATCCAGGCTTTCAGAGAGCAATCCGTTAAGGTAAATAAACATTCACATTGCTCTTCCTTTGGAGGAGCGAATGATGATGCGGTGTTTGCTGTTGGTTTGGCGTTTTTAGGATTATGAGCCTTAATAAGATTATGACTCTGTTTCTTTTCTTGAACACACAATTATTTGCTTATGTGTCTGTATGTAGATTAGAGTTTTTTTCAAGACTGTTAAATGGAATTTAAATGTTTTATCTTTCGTACTCAGCTGGGAAATGCTGAACACTACAATAGCTACCTTCAGTCCCTGAAAGGAAGCATCCCAAACAGAGGACTAGAGGTGTTCTGGGAACTGCTCGTTCAAGGTATGATACGCCTTTTTACTTAGAGCTGTGGTGTTTCTCCCAACTTCGCAATATCTAACCAAGTCAAGAACACTCAGAAGGAAGTAGGTCCAATCAAGAGATGCCTTCATGAATGGAAAAACGGAGGGTTTACAACTTGGTTTTGTCTTCTTATGCTCAAGAAGAGGATGGCCAAATTAGACTTTGACAGGAAGCACCTAACAGTGCCTGCAGAGTTCTTTGGACAGATGAAAACAAGATTAATTTGTACTACAACGAGGGACAGGTCATACCACATCATCTGTCAAACACAGTGGAGGCAGTCTTATGCCGGTGGTCACTTGTTGATTGATGATGCGATTGCTGATAGAAACAGAGTGATCAGTTCATTATCTCTGCTCAGATCCTGTCAAATGCTGAAAACTGATTGAAGAGCAAATTGCAAAAAAAGCAAACTGCAAAAGCAACCCAAGTTTCCCAAGGGAAAGAAATGGGATAAGTCTACAATGGCCACATCAGTCACCATGTCAGTCACTCATTAAAGCAGATTTTCGTTCTTAAATACAAAACTGAAACCAGACAGACCAACAAAAAAGCAGCAACTGAAGGTTGTTGAGGTGAAGGTGTAGCAGATCATCTCAAGGGAGGAAATATAACATTTAGTGATGTCCAAAGCTTCTAGACTTCAATCTATTGGCTGTAAAGGATTTTCAGTATCGAAAACAATCCTTATATTTAAAATTATGTTAGTAAACCAGGTAGTTTTGATTTTTTGAGTTAGTTTTAGAACCGAGGGCCTGTATATTTAAATAATTGCAATTCCTAAACTGTTAATTCATAAAAACTAGGAAAATTGTTTAAAGAAACATTGCAAACCTAAAATATTCTGATGAAAATAGTGATTTTTTTTTTCATTTTATTTCTTTGCGGGGAGAAAAAAAAGTTGTGCCTCAAATTCAGGCAGTTTGTATCTAACATTGAGTTTGATCAACAGATGGTTTAACGCTGATCAGCAAGGATGAGGTGGAAGGAAGCTCGGTCTCCAAAGCCGAAGCTAATCAGGTGACTTTAATTTGAATTTGGTACACGTATGAATTTGAGATGATCTTGAGTCTCTTTCTTTGACTGAAACTGTTTTTTTTTTTTTCTCAGTTTCTGGTTGCTGAGGAGAAGAAAGAGGAGGCAGCTCCTGCACCAGTTGAAGATACTGGAGATGTTGATGACTTGGTAAGCGTGCAGTTTTTATTTCTGACATTTCTTTATTTTATTTAAATACGTGTTTATGTAACTGTTGTGACTCGAATGGTGTTAAAACCATTTCCTGTGTATCTACATGGGGCGTGTGTGATGTGTTGAGCTCTCAGATATAAACTCTTAGGGTTTGCATGCTTTTTTTTTTCCTCTCTGTGCAGCTGGATATGATGTAAAGAGAAAAAAAGATGGAAGAGGAGTGTTTGCGGTGGACTCCAGAGAAATTAAAAGAATGCACGCTCTCAGTCCAGCCAGACCAAACCAGTTCAGCCGTCCATTGTTCCTTCACTCCCACTTGGAGTCCTGCCATACTTTGTAACTCTGCACTTAATGGATCAACTGTGGTTTACACATGCTGTCTAAAAGTACTTCACTTTAGAAATTACAAAAAATATTCCGCATACTTCAGGCAAAGGCTTTCTGCGTTTTGTTTGAGATTTTAAAAATTACTGCAGTTCTTGTGAGTCTTAAGGTGGTACTTATGTAGTAATTATGGCTACAGTATGCACTGAAAAATAAAGAAACCCTTATAGACTTTACAGAAGACAGAAATGCAGTGCCCAACAAACTGACAGTTTATTATGAAAAATCATTAAAAGTCTTATGGTTGATTAAGAGCGCATGACTTGCATTATATTTTTGTGTATGAAAATACTGATTGATCTTCTGACAAGATGTAGCAAAGCACAATGCTGTGACATCATTTGCAAATTATACAGTGCATAGCAGACTAAACCAGTTTTGTGTTTAAAGCATAGACTGTATAAAAAAAAGAGAACGTTGCCACCATAATGCCAACCTTTGGTTTGTGGATCACCATTTTGAATCCTTGACTTTAGCACTTTGGAGCCAGAAGTGACCATATTTGGAAAAAAGGGTGAAACATGTGAGAAACTCTTGGAGAAAAAAAACCTCTTTCTGAGGTGGGAATGCCAATTTAATTAGGGCCATGAGTATGCTGACAATGGTTCAAAATGGAAAAGGTTTTGTCCCACTTATCCATATACACTATATACCAAAGGTATTCTCTCGTCTACCTTCACATGCATATGAACTTGAGTGACATCCCATTCTTAATGGTTTATTATTGTCAGCCTACCCTGGGCACCTGTAACAACTTCAACTCTTCTGGGAAGGTTTAGGAGTGTGTTTATGTGAAGTTTCGACCATTCTTCTAGAAGCACATTTGTGAGGTCAGGCACTGATGTTGGACGAGAAGGTTTGGCCCACAGCTCACGAGTTTTTCCACACCAAACTCGCTTATCCATGTCTTTATGAACCTTACTTTGTGCTCTGCGAACAGGTGTTCCCTAAACTGTTTCTACAACATTGGGAGCATGAAATTGTCCAAAATATCTTGTTGTGTTTTGTGTTGAGGCATTAAAAGGGTAAGGGGCAAAGCCCCACTCCTGAAAAACAACCCTGACACTTTGTGTTGTGCATGGAAACCTTCATGAAGCTCTCTGTAGACTGTTGTTGGGCTAATCTGAAGGTTACATGAAGTCTTTATCAATTAACTCTGCAGGAAGTTTGTGACCTCTGCATGCTATGACCCTCAGCAGCTGTTAATCCTGACTTTATGTAGCCTACCACTTCATGGCTGGGTCCCTGTCATCACTTTGCTATAATACGACTAACAGTTGACTATGAAATATTTAGTAGCGAGGAAATTTCATAACTGGATTTGTTGCACAGGTGACATCCTATCACGATACCACACTGAAATTCACTGATGTCCTGAGAGCTTTCTTTCATAAAAGTTTGCAGAAACAGTCTGCGTATGGAGGTGCTTGATATTATACACCTGTGGCCATGGAAGTGATTGAAACACCTGAATGCAATGATTTGGATGGGTGAGTGAATACTTTTGGTAATATAGTGTATATTAAAAAAAAATCTAGTCCCACTTAAATCGAGTTACACAAGGCAAAGTGTAATTTATGGTCCTGTAAATGTGTCCGTCTGTGTACACGTTTCTTTTCCACCCACCCCAGACACACTCCGGTGCAGGCCTCTCAACATTCTGACTGCACGTGTCTAGAAGCAGATGATGCAAGCGTGTGCCGAATGTTGATTCATTGACAAGTGGGCCGGAATAGAGCAGGGACTGCTAGCGGAAGAATACAACATGAAAAGCACAGACATTGGACACTTTTCATTGTTTTTAAACACTCATTTTCACTTCAGCTCTTTGTATGTTATAAAGTCGCTCTTCTTCACGGCTGTCTGATGTACCAACAGCAGCACAAGCTAGAGTGACCCACAGACTGCTGTACCACATATTTTGCACATTGCCTCCATCTGGCAACAGGCAGACAGGCCATCCTTGGATTGCTACCGGACAGTGAACGCACCACCGTTGCGGGACCATAAATTCTGCTTGAGCTGCAGCTGCCAATGAATTACTTTAACCACTGACAGAACAAGGAAGCACCTAGAGACCCTCAGTTGTATGGCACATGGCTTCACTTTTCAAACACAGTGGGTGCCTGTGTTTCTTTTATATACTGTCTATGGGTTAAAGAAGAAATCTAGTTTATTTCAACCTTGTGTATTCCCCAATCAGTTTGGCCATTGCAGCTCTACAAGCTTCAAGAGGAAACAAGCGCGAGCTCCTGAGGTTATCCAGACAATGTAGTCTTTTAACTTTTGCTTTTGATTCTGACCTAAGCTTAGAATTTAGCTGCCTGGAGTGGACCTGTTGCTAATTGCATCTGCATCCAAAAATGAAAGTGTTGGGATGATTTTCTACAAATTGCTAAAACAAAATCCTGTCAAAGTTTTGTTTTAATTTAAATGTTAGTACACATGTGAGGTGTTAAACAAAGTGGAGGATGAAGTTGGCTCTTGGCTCTGCATGGTCTCAAAGATGGAGAATATCCTCAGAGATATCTGAGATATCCTCAGAGGGTAAAATCAAGGACTGCACTATGACCCAGTATAAAGCTGCAGAGAGCACAGTCTTGTTTCACTGTAGGATGCTTTCCTCAATAGAGCCACAACAGCCACATTAATGTAAAATACTATCAGGTTGAAATAAATTTTAATTATCCTTGAAAATGTTGGATGTAGCACCAGTATTGGCTCACAGGAGCATTCTCTCTCTAACACACCCACCGGATGAAACGATCAAACATACCGGACCTTAAAAAATCTGAGAATTTTTCTGCTTTGAAGATGGCGTGCTGGTCCCCCATAGCCAGCTTTGTCAGGACTTCTTGATCAACATCACTTCCTGTGGCAATCACGGTGGAGACCACCTCGTGACGACGCATGGCACTGATCGCTTCGTCCAGGTTGTCGCTGTTAGTGACACCATCTGTAATGAAAACGAATGAAATCTCTGCATTGGGCCTCGTTTGCCGGGCGCTTCCTCTAACCAGGATGTTGTTGATGGCATGTATGATGCCGGGCGCCACGCTTGAAGAAGAATCTAGATACTGTAAAGCTGTTAAACTGTTAACAATCTGGACAGGGTCATGTGTTAGAGAGAAAGCCACCCGATTCTCTGACTCCTTGCCAAACTCCATCAGTGCCAGACGGGCTCGCTCTCGATCGGTCCTGGTCCTGGCCAGTACCAGCCTGTCTGCAACCTTCTGAACAAATTCACGAACAAGGAGGAAGTTTCTCTCCCCGAGACGCTCTGAACCATCCAATAGAAATACCAAATCCACAGGCCTCGCAACACAAGGTGCTGAGTCAAGTTCTGAAACGAAACAAAAAAGAGCAATCACTTCCTGAAGTGCGTTTCATCATAAACCAATCATATAACTATGACTAAAACCCACCACTTGTACAGGGGAGATCAGGGCACTTAATGACTGGATCTGGTGAGAAATCATAGGTTAGACAAACACACAAGGACTAGTACTGTCAGGCTGCTGAGATCATTGGTACAGGCTTACCAGGACAGAGGACAGTTTCCATCTTTTCTAAGAATTCATCAGCCACCAAATCGCTGTAGCGCCTCATCTCAGTAGCCCGATCCTTCTTGTTGCATGCGATTGACACCAGAGTCTCGCTGTCGTGTCTGGTGTCAAACATGTCCCCTATCCCGATGGCATTCACCACCACAGCGGGGTCGTTGCAGAGGTATGTGAGCTGATTGTCGTCGTCTCGGGGGTCAAAGCGGCCGTCTGTGACCACGACGACGGACACTTTGGATCGGGCTCTCTTGCTGTCCCTGATGAGGTTATCATAGGCGTACTTCAGAGCAGAGGGGGTGAAGGTGCCCCCAGCAATCCACCTCAGATTCTTCACTGCAGTTTTGAATGCAGTCATGGAGTTTATGTTTGGGTCATCGAGACGAATGCTCTCAAAAGTCCCGTTGTGACTGTATTGTACAACTCCAACTCTTGTGCCTAGGAGATACACACATCTTTAATCAGTCTAAAAGTCAAACTTTTACATTTATTATTTCTGTAAATCTTTTTGGAAAAGCATCACAGATAAATCTGTTAGGGGTTACTCGGTAACACCGATGCATTTACAGCAGCACGGCGGTTGCAGGCTTTACTCCAATCATAATTTATAATGTCAGCAAGTGACAAGTGGCTCTGTAGTCTTAACAAGTAAAACATCCCTGGATGAATCACAGTTGTAATATTATTCATTTTCTCTTGTTGGGTATTTAGCAACTTGCTCCAAAAACAACAACAAACTGTTGTTTTGGTGTTGTGTTCTCAGCATGAATATTAATCAACCATTTTTATGTAGCACGATTTGAAATACTTTAGTCTGTAGTTGTTTCTGCAGAGTCACAGTGTTACTGAAGATTGGTGTGTATTTTAATTTCTTTTGGGTAAATCTGTAGAACGATTGCTTGCTTGACGTTACCTGTTGTTGATGTAGGTTCGGGCGCCATAGATCCCAGCCTGTTGATGGTGTTGATAACAAAGTTCTTCTCCAGGGTAAAGTTTGTCAGCCCGACACTCTCTGAGCTATCAATTACAAACACAATGTCCATAGCTCCACAGTGCTTCTCGCAGTCTGAGAGACAAACAACAAGAAGACCATCAGCGCGTTTAAACACCACATTTATGAAGCTGTGTTTGAGTGCTTATACTTTCTTACCGCAGCAACCACACGTCTCTCTGATGTAGCTCATGACATCACATTCCTGCAGTGACATGTGTGCAGATTAAAGTAATACACTGAAGTGAGTAAAGGAATTCTTGCATTAAAATACATCAGTCTTTTTAAAATTTTACTCACAGTGAGCCCAGAATCGCCTGCTGGTCCTGGATCCCCCTACACACACACACACACACACACACACACACACACACACACACACACACACACACACACACAAACACACACACACACACCACAGAGAGAACAATGCACCTGGGTCTCAAACTTGCATGCATGGTCAGCTCATTATCTGTGTGGCTGTAGCTTACATCAGGTCCACGTTCTCCTCTAGGCCCTCTTTCTCCTGGCGGCCCCGACTGGCCTGGTTCACCCTAGATACAAACATTTTTACAGTCAATGAAACCTAAATGACTCACAAAACACTGAAAGCTGTGCAAAAACACTGTTGTTAAGGCTTACTGACAATTTAAATATATACGACACCAAAGAACAATCACAGTACACCCATGCAGCTGGTGTCATGTGATCCTGTGGGACTGCTGTGGTCTGATCATTTGTAATGTGTTTGAACAGGAAACAGCACCTGGTAAAATATCCAGCAGCATAAATAGCATTGTTCTTTGGCCTAATTCATAAATATTTTTTATTTACCTTGCCATATTTTACAACTGTCACTGTGAGGCAAAGACAAAGTGATATGCTCACACTCCAGAGACTAAATTCAACCTCATTTATTTGTTTTTTAACACTTAACCTCAAATGACCTGCAGCCGTGCACTGCAGATATTTTCAGTTTCGTCAGCTAAGCTTTTGCCTCCATTACAACACAACAGAGGTGGATAATGCTTAGTTTAAGGTGGAAAAAAATCCCCAGCAACATCTATTTCCAGAAACACCGAGCTTTCTATTCTGATTGGTTAAGGTAGAATAATAACGGTCCAGAATGAACTATTGGTTTCGGGGAGGTGGAATGAACCTTTTCATTAAAAAAATTAAAAAGAAGGAAAAAATGACCAAATAAATGTTTTCACCTGATTACTTTCTGCCCGTGTTATTTCTGTGCTTCGTTTTAATATAATGTAATTTGTGAAAACATACTCGTGGTAATTGGGTCATTTTGTGTGATTGTAGAGAGCAAAAACAGCTTGAGCTGATTTGGTTTTGTTGAAAATCAGGTCAAAGTCACACTAAATGTGAAAATCTATAAACCTTGCCCTTCTGGGGTTGTTTGACACTCTAAGTGCTCTTGTCTCTTTTAGTTTTAATAAGGAATTGCTCTATATTGGCTTTCTGTTGATCATATTCCCAGATGCTTTTCATTTTCTTTGTTTTTGTATCTTCAGTACCTCATTCACTTATTGGTGAGCAGAGATGGGCAGTAACGCGTTAATCTGATTACTTTTTTCAAGTAACGAGTAAAGCAAGGGATTACTATTGCAAAAACGGTAATTAGATTACCGTTACTTTCCCGTAGGAACGCTGGTTACTGCGTTACTAAAACCGTGATTTTTTTGCGAGAATGTCTCATGACAGTGACGTAAGCGAGTGCGCCGTTAGTGACAACAGCTGTGTGCAGATCAACAATGGATCACATATATCGAGTGCGGGAGAGAGTATGAGCGTGCAGCGTTTAAAGCGTGGAAGTACTGACCTTACTTTGAGTTTGATTCCATAAAAAGGGACAAAAACATTAGTGTCCGTTGTGCGTGGGAAGAAAACTTCTTTTTACAGCGAAAAAAACCCCTAAACAAGCACCGAGTGCACTATGACGTTTCACAGAGAAACTCGCAGATTCTTCCACTGACCGCTGCGGCACACGTGCACCACGGCACGCCTCCGCCTACCCCACTCCTGCTTTACAGGTGAAAATAGAGCAACAGGACCGCTGAGTCTTTGATTTTATTTATTTTCTGCTGTGTTTTACTTGCATCTATTTGAAAGACTGAGTGTAAACACAAAAATATTTTATTTTATGTGCTGGAATGTGCAGAAAATAGGTTTAAATGTTAAACTAATTTCTTCAAGTCAGAGAATGGTGCATATAATTTAATTTGTGCTTGATGAATAAAGTTAAAAGATTAAAACTGATAAAACAAGGTTTAAAAAAAGAGACTTTTCCATTTGATTACATTTTGTATGATGGATTATGCAGAAAAAGTTGGGCTGAAAGATCTATCGCTTTATCACCTATTCAGGTTGTAAATCGTGTTTTTAAAAAGTAACTAAGTAAGTAATTAATTACTTTTGAAAATAAGTAATCAGTAAAGTAATGGGATTACTTTTTTTGGGAAGTAATCAGTAATTAGTTACTGATTACTTTTTTCAAGTAACTTGACCAACACTGTTGGTGAGTTTAAATTTATTAGTTCCCTTTGTGATCCTCCTCTGTTCCCCGAGTCTTTCCTCTGTGGTTGTTTCCAGCTCGTGTTGCATATGAGTCTGCATGTTTAGCTGCTTCCTGTCTTAATTTGGTTGTCTTGTGTGTTTTGTGCTCTGTATCTATTTTAAATTCCCTGCCTCGTTATCCCTGATTTGTTCCGATTGTGTCTTCCAACTGTTTTCTAAGTCTACTCTTGCCCCTTTGTCGTGCCGTCACACAGTGCTGTGTGCTTCGCTGCTCTGTGTTGGATGTCATAACCATCTGTAGGTTCACATTCTCCAAGAGGTGAGAAGACAATTTTTGGGATGTGTGTGGACCAACTTTCAGGTATTTTTTGCAGCAGAGCAGCATGGACAACAGGAAATTTAAAGTTTGCACATGAATTTACAGTTTTTCTCAAATGTTAAAACACAAAAGCCAATCCTGTAACCCAAATGACCAGTAGTCTAAACACATTTACTAAATGTAGCCACCATATTCCAGTACCATAAACACATGTCACATGAAGACACAATTCACAAAACACAACCTTCTGTACTCATAAATCTAAACACATTTTTCCTTGCTAAAACACATGTTGCAAAACAACTCTGCTCATATCCTCAAATGAAAGCCCATGTGATGCAAAATGCTTGCCACAGTCACCAATCTTTGAACACAGGGAACACACCTGGCGTCATTCACTACACACAATGACTCAAAATTGAAGACACTTGTTGCTAATGCTGTACCCACATGTAAAAGCAAGTTCAGAGTGCACAGTATGCTGAAGATTCCAAACAAACACAATGGATGAAGGCAGAGTCAGGGGAAGAGGAATTTGATGCAGAGGAGGGAGAAGAGCTGGCCCTGGAAGAAGAGGAGCAGGCCAATGAGGAAGAGGAGTTCAAATGAGAGGAGGAAGAGGAGAAGGCCAACATGGGAGAGGAGAAGGTCCAGGAGGGAGAGCAAGACAACCTCGCACCATCATTACGGACGAGATGCGAGCAACAGCTCAGCGACATGATGCCGCACAGTGATTGTGGTGTGTGTGTGGTGTGAATAACGTAAATAAAAAAACTTCACACCCTGTTCATGTTTTCAAGATTACTGTTGTGTGCAATAGATTCTGTTTTTGCATTGAGTTGTGTTACAGTAGTGTACGTACATGCAGGATTTTCTATAGATTTATACTACTCATATGAAACTCACAAATCTAAATGCCTAATCCTCTGCAGAGATCTACGACGATCCGTTACTGTATAGTTTCTAAAATATGCATTGGCAGTTATGAAACAAAGAACCTTCTCACAAATTGAGCATTGTGTTTTCAATTGTTTTGCTGTAGTGTGTAATGCTGTGTATAGTGTTTACAGTTTTGACAGCTTCGAGCTGCTCTCTTGGTGTGGGAGTTTGAGTTTTGCAGTGGGAAGGTGTGGTTGTGTTTATGTAGCTTTAGAGAAGGGTGTTGTGTTTGGACATTGGGGGACCTGGTGGTAACGTTTGTGACATGTGTTTTAGCATTTGAGAAAAACTGTAATCAAGTGTTCTTGTTTTGTCTTAAAGCCTCTGTGGACAACGTGTAGGCAGCGGATAAGGCCAAGTCTCTCTGTCCTGTCCTGTTTATGAGTGCAAACATCTATAAAAGTAAAACTGTACATCATCAGTGGTTTAACAATCGCATCTTACAGGCGCTCCTGGTTGCCCTTTATTTCCAGATTCTCCTTTGGCGCCACAGTCACCTCTGCTCCCTCTGGGTCCTCTCCTACCCGGTGCACCCCTGTCTCCCTTTAAATATCAGAGTTACTTTAGCCTCAAGAAGAAACATCTTGAGACATGCAGGTCATTTTATGAGGTAAAAAGAAAGCTGTTACAGGCGGTCCTCTTGATCCAGGATAGCTGAAACCTTGCCTTCCTCTGTCACCCTTTAGAAGAAAAACAACGTGGATGAGAGTAAATTATTTACTGATAATCATGAACAGAAATGCTCAGACTTTCTTTTTACCTTTGGTCCAAGTGGCCCAGTGTCTCCCCTTGGTCCTGAATCTCCAAGATCTCCCGTTGTGCCCTGCAGCCACAGAAGATAAAATTCAAATAAAAAAAGAATCTACTTGAAAAAGCAGAAAATGATGGCGATGATGATAAAGTTATAAAGGAACAAACATTTCGTCCAGGGGCGCCTAGTTCTCCTGGCTGACCCCTCGGTCCCGGTAGTCCCAGGTCCCCCTGTCAGAGAGAGAAAATAACAGACAACCCTTTTTACTGGACTCGACCTTGACTCCAGCCCACACAGGCACATGCAGGATGAGTTTCACTGATGTGGATTTGGCAGTTTCAAGCTAATCATTTCAAATTACTGTATAGTTTCTGATATTTTCATCTGGAAAATAAGTGTTTTTATGATGAAGGCATGGCTCCAGTGTTGAATGTCTAATGAAGGCATGCCAGGTTCTTGGGAAGCCTCTGAGTCATTGCTCATCAAAAATCCACCCACAGCGTGATCTCCTCACCTTAGCGCCCTTGAGTCCATTTTCCCCAGGCCGACCTCTGCTTCCCTCCGGGCCTCGCTCTCCCTCACAAAATAAATGAATGTGTCAGAATTCATACCAAACCATTAATTACTTCCCAATATATACAAGACACAACAGTAACAGGGAGGTAATACTTCTGCCTCAGGGAAATGTCTGAGGAATTTTTCTGAGATGACCCACTGAAAGACAGAACTGTGTTATAGTAGTTGGGATTTCACTATTTCAGTTCCTCAGAATTAAAAACCACAAGCACACTTCAGACTTTCTTCCTCAAAGTTCTTTCTTAATTCATCTTTCTTAAAAGGTCACAGGAAGCCAGTGTTTCACAGTATTTCAAACCAGCAGCTAAAATGGTGCAATTTTGCTTAAAATAAGCGGAAAATGAAATGCCATTCATACAATAAGACAATTCATTAAAAAAAAAACAATGACAAAAGCTTACCTTTTTCCCTTTTGGCCCAGTGTTTCCTTGTGATCCCTTTATTCCCGGGTTTCCTCTCCTCCCCTATGAATATTTATTTAGTAAATTTCTTTTAACTATTTTCCAAATGGGGATTTTTTTTTCCAAGTAAAAACACGAGTCAAATACCTCTTCGCCTTTTGCCCCAGGTGAACCCTTTCTCCCCTGCAAGTGTCAACAGTTTAATTTGAGAGTTGATTTTGTACCATCAGTTTAGTGCACATGTAAAAAAATCATAAAATAAAATAAATTCAGGGCTGTACCGGACTCCCTCTTTGTCCAGGCTGTCCTGGATTTCCTTGGTTTCCTCTTTCACCCTAAAAAGCAGACATTCAGTTTTAAAGTAAAGAAAATTCTTTGTTGTGCGCTCAGTATTTTTTCCACTTGTTTTTTAATTTGAAGGTTACCTTCAGACCAGGATTACCCTTAGGGCCTGGGGGGCCTGGCTTTCCAGGAAGGCCTGTGTCACCCTAAACAAATGCAAAAACAATCAAAAAGAAAAGCCACAAAAAATACATAACTGGACATAATGTAACATTATTAATAACTGAGCTTCAGTGAACTCTAAAAAAATGTTAAATGGCCTGCATTTGTAGCGCTTTACTAGTCCCTAAGGAAGTGTCTTGCCCAAGGACACGACGACCGAGACTGTCGGAGGCGGGGCTCGAACCGGCAACCTTCCGATTACAAGACGAACTGCCAACTCTTGAGTCACGATAATAAAATAAGTTTATAAGGAAAAAAATGGTCATGTCTGATTGTCTAGTCATTGACTCTGTAGTCGAGTGAGCATGGGCAAAGATACAGTCCCAATCAAAAATCTAAGACTTTAAAAATGCCAAAATATCATATTTTGCATGGTTGGATCTTAACAAGGTTCCAAGTGGAGTTTCAACATGTAACAAAAAGAAATGGGAGCGAGACAGAACATTTTTTGAGCATGCAATTTATTGAAAACAACGCTTAAACTGTTTTACAGCTGATCAAAAATGTATAACTACATGCCATTCAAAGGCCAAATCTGTGCAAAAATGTGGATTCATTGTCATTTTCTGTCAGGTAGTCACACTGTCATGACGTTCTGATGGCAAAAAAAATGTTCCCTTTTTTGAATGTGGTCGAGATGTTGAACTGCCAGGGGTGCACATAAGTGGTCCGCAGGTGCGCATGCGCGGTCAAAATAAAAGACACGCACCAGATAAGAAGTTGCAACGCGCGTTTGCGTACATACGATTTTCTGGAAGAGGACAGACATTTGTTTAGAACTCTTAAAGATGTCGAAGAAGCAAGCTCCTTTAAGCAATTACTTTGGTGTTCCTACACCTCCAAACAAATGTCAGAAGGAGTCAGAACCGCAAAAGAAGTGCGTATTCTTGGAAAAGTGGTTGCAGGAAATGAGCTGGCTTCAAACAGCTCACTTATGTGCACCCCTGGAACTGCATAAGCAGGGTCTCTCGCAGCACGCCATCGCTGCTGAGGTGGGGCGCAGTAAGACTGTCATTTGGAATTTCTCAAATGACTCCTAGCGTTATGGAACAAAAAAGTCAAAAAGTGGAAGACCCAAAGAAATTTCACCAGCACTGAGCTGGAGGATCCAATTGCCTGCCTGTAAAGACCCTGGACAGTCCTTGAACCAAATTAAGGCCGTTACTGGTCCTGACTGGAGCCCCATAAACATCAGAATGTAACTTTGACGGTTCTGATGGTTTCCAAACTTACTGGCATGACAAGCAGATCCAACCTGAGATGTTTTCTACGCGCCACAGTGGAGGGGGCGCATTAATGGTCTGGGGTGCTTTTTCCTTCAGTGGAACAATGGAGCTTCAGGAGGTGCAGGGGTGTCAAACGGTTGCTGGCTATGTCCAGATGTTGCAGAGAGCAACATTGTCTGTGTGGTAACAGCTGGGTTTACCAACAGGACAACGTTAGGGTACACAGTGCCTGCAGGTTACAGTGGTTTTTTGTTTGTTTGTTTGTTTTTTTGAGGTGTGGTCCTAAACTGATCAGGCAGTTTAAACATTGTTTTCAATAAATTGTATGCTCAAATTTTTTTTCGGCTCATCCTCATTTCTTTTTGTTGCATGCTGAAGCTCTACTTGGAACCTTGTTAAGATCCAACCATGCAAATTATGATTTCTTTCTTTTTTGGGTCATTTTTCAAGTGGTCTTAAACTTTTGATCGAGACTGGATGTCTGCACACAGCCCAAATATTTAGTCTGAGCTGTGCTTTGGCTACATTCATGACGCATAATTATGGAAATCATCAGTACCAACAGTTACATCTGCATGAGCTGTACAAGTTGAATGTACTGACAGAATAAACACAAATATGTCAAGAAAAAATGTCTGCCGAGCTGCTGCAGCCGTCAGCTATGTCAGATGATTTAATTATGAAAAAAAGAGCATTTCCTCTTTGTATTTATGTGCTGTCGTTTCACTGCATAACATATGTTATGTTTGCATGGCTGGAAAAGGGAGGGGGTTCCTGTTTATGAATACAGCACGATGAAGGTGCTAACATGTCAGCACACTGTTTGGTGGCACATGTTAACTGCTATGTCCAGATTAGGAGTTCTGGAATTTGTGACATTTGTTTTAATATTCATGCCGATGCCCAATTTAGAATCACCCATTAACCAAACACGCATGTCTCTGGACTGTTCTTGTTGCGAGGTGAAAGCGCTAACCACTACACCATGTGCCACGCAATACAGACAAGTATTTTTAAGATCAATTTAAAAAAAGACAAAAACCTAATTATAGCTTTTAAAAAAAATCCTTTAAGAAGACAAACTGAAAGATTTAGATTTTTGCTTCCGTTGTGACAGGCATATTTTAAAATGCACCCACAAATCAATGCACATCTCAGTGTCACAGAAGTGCCTTAACTAATGAGAGCTGTTAAACTCTAATTCACTGGCTGAAGCTGCTCTCACGTTCCCTCATTCGTCTTGAACACGACAGTGTTTTTGGTGGAGGGCTTTTCTGTTTATACTTCAATTAACGGTCAGACAGCCCACATAAGCCTAATCTATCATTTTTGAGGCAAACGTGTTGCCACAGAAAGGCAATACATAATATCATAATCTAAAGCTCTTATTAGCACAACAGCAAGAGGCTGCACTACCAAGCAAATTCAACATACCATGGATATCTTTCAGTCATTAATCTGGCTAAGCAGTCACACAAAGTCCTTATCAACAGGATAAGTTCAGTCAGGTTTTTCCAATCTAGCTGTGGGCATGTTCCCATGAAAGTGGTGGTGTTGATAGGTCTGCTAGGAGCAGAGGAGTACTTTTTCAAAGGAAGACAAAATCTAATAATAAAAGATATGAAAAGGTTAAACACGCAAAACAGGCAAAAAGAAATGCAGCTGCTGCTGGGCAAAATTTTGCAGTATGAGCGTAACAGGAAACAGGGGCACATCTACAGAGCAGCAGTGGGTGTGTGTGTGTGTGTGTGTGTGTGTATGGGGGGCAACTAATTTAATATGACATGATAAAGGAGACACTCTCTTTCCTTCACCTCACAAAACTTTTGTCAACCTCAAGGTAAAGCAGTTATTAAAAGGAGTTTGGGGGTTATATTATCTATCTGACTACAGTCCAGACCTGCAGAAGATAAAGGAGACGTGTGGTGATTTAGAGATCTCCAAACAGCTGGTCTTTAAATATTTTTCTCTGACCTTTCTTGGTGCTTGTACCTTTTGGTAATCAGAGCACATTTTGACTGTTTAATAAACAGTCCATAATGTTATGAATCACGGTATCTGTGAATCATCTATGAATGTGTTGCTGTAGCACCAGCACCACATAGGCAGAAAAGTGGTCTTGAAGTAAAGATTGACCCTCACACAGACCAAAAGAAAATACATATTAAACCTTGCCCAACTAAAAATAATAGTAGTTGGTTCACTTGACAGAACTTACTGTTTTAACCCGACAGGCCAGCCTGTGCAGGCATTTGGTGTTTAATCCTAGCAGATCACATCGTTCAGCTGTTCTGACACCTGTTAAAGCTAAAGAAATATTAGAAATGGTTCTTTAAGGCTCTGCTGTGCCACCTTTAAGAAGCACACTGAAAATTTCACGCTATTTTCTAGTGACAGTACTTTCCTTTCACTTGTTGAAATTAAATGACAGGTGGCAGGGTGGTTAGCACTTTTGGCGCATAGCAAGAAGGTCCTGAGTTCAATTCAATTCAGCTAAGTTCAATTGTGATCTGCTAGGATTAAACACCAAATGCCTGCACAAGCTGGCATGTCGGGTTAAAACAGTAAGTTCTGTTAAGTGAACCAACTACTAGTATTTTAGATAGACAAGGTTTAATATGTATTTTTTTTTGGTCTTTGTGAGGGTCAATCTTTACTACAAGACCACTTTTCTGAAAAGGATAAGAGGAAGCGAATGGATGGATGAAATTAAATAAATAAATTAGGTATGCCCTCTGAAACTTGTGATTGTTTCACCAAAACACATGTAAGTCGGCAGATATTTTTAGCTGCTGCCTTTTTTTGCCAAAAAGTTGCTGCATCAGCTGGATATTTGCTTTTACACCGGATGCCCTTCCTGATGCAGCTTGCCCATTAATCCAGGACTGCGACTACACTGGTTTGCGACCCCCCAACGTTGGGCTTGTTATTATCAGGTGAATGTGATAACCACTACAGTATGGAAATGACTTCACTAGAATCCATCTAATTACTGTGAATACTTCACTCTAGACTCAAGTGCTGAAATTACCAACTGACCACATACCAAAATGCAATCGTGTGAATATATTTTTTTGTTCACTCTAAATAACACTCTGTCTCTTTCAGTATGAACCGAAATGATTAGATTATTGTGATTTAATTCAGACCTTTTCTCCTTTGTCACCTAATAGTCCAGTTTCACCAGCATCTCCTGGGTAGCCATCTGGTCCCTATTAGAGACAAATAAAAAGTGTCTCAGTGGTTCATTTAACCAGAAATGCTAACAATACTAGAAAAAGTCAATGTTAAAGAGAATCAGTGAAATACATGCAGCTGTATGGCTGATATAAGTTGTTAAAATGAAACAAAGACATACAAATAAATATTAAATGCTCGACTTACCTTGTCGCCTGGATCACCTTTACAACCGGGAGCTCCAATTCGTCCAATTTTCCCCTGAAGATTTCAAAGGAGCATTCATATAATATCAGTATATTTATAATCAGATTACCATTACAGTAAAAATCTCACCGTAAACACTCACCTTTTGCCCATCAGTTCCATTCTTGCCAGTCGAACCTGCAACACCCTTAAGCGAAGAGATAAAATGAACTTCAGTGCATAAACGCTCTTAATTTTGGATGTTGCGGTGCACGAAGATGAAGCATTAAACTGTTTTTTTTTTTTTTTACCTTTGCTCCAGTTAATCCAATTTCCCCCTGTTGAGATAAAACAGACCCATTAGTCCCCCCAAACACTTCCTTCAGTTTAATAAATGAACAGAAATGAGAAATATAAGGATTTTAACTCTTACCTTGTCACCCTTTAAACCAGCCTCTCCCTACGGAAAAGCACAAAAGGACACATTAATGAGATTAAAAATACATCGTGTAATTTTAATTAAATCAGTTAAATAATTTAATTAATTTTAATGAAATAAAATCATCAACGAGTTGGGCTCAGCAAACCTTTGGACCAGGTCGTCCAATTGGACCTTCAATGCCAGGATCACCCTGAAATGTAACAAATATATAACTCAGTAAATAACAATGCACTTTTTAAAATATATTTAGGTTTCTAGACGTAAATTCTAGGTACCTGTCTTCCTCTTTCACCCTTTGGCCCTGGAGGGCCTCTGTCTCCTTTTGTGCCCTATAAAGATCCAAGTACATACGCATTTCAAAAGATGAATCATCGGCACGAGCAATAATAAAAATTATTGACTTTAATTCAGTTTTTAAGTCTCACTTTTGGACCTGAGGGACCTCTTAGTCCAGGGCGCCCAGGACTCTCGAAACATCTTGGTTTGTAACACTGTGAGATGGAAGAGAAAAACAAAACAATATTAAAAGACTAAAGCCTTTTAAATACCAGAATTGTTTAAAGGAAGCTATTCTGCTAATTTCCAACTTCATTGTTTCAGTCTTGGACTTATAGCAGCTTTGCATGAGTGACTGAAACAAGCCTTTTTAGCTCCTTCCCCATTCCTTTTGTGGCAGTTTTGTTCTGATTGGTTGTCTTTGGTAAAGAGAGTATTTGAAAGGCAAGTGGGCGGGGGGAACATATCCTCTCTTTGACTTCACAAACAGCCAACAGTACAAAAAATTTGTGAAACTGACAAGGTTGGATCCTGAGCTTGTGGCTAATAGGGATTACTTGCACATACACTCATTATGTGGAACTTAACATAATGAGTAACCTTCTTACCTGTAAATATGCTTGGTATTTCTGCAAAAAAAGAGAGAAAAAAGACAGCAGTCAGTGAGAGTCACCTGACACAACATTTTAAGGCTAAAAGAAGTCAGCTCACCATTGCTTTTACGATACGATCAATGGTTTTAGTGCTTAGTCTTGGTTTCCCATCAACGATTTCCACCGCTATGTAGTCGTCACGGAACAGCTCGTACGGAGAGTTCGCTATCTCCCGCATTCCAAATTCATCGATCTCCTTGGACGCTGCTACTGAGAAAATCTGGATCCCTTGATCCCGGGCCTTTTCTGCCATCACCTTGATCCCTGAACATGGATTTCCTGTCACATAGCCATCAGTGATGACCACAGCGAAGAGAACCGCCTTCGTCTCTGTGTAATGTTGGGTCATCTGGTGAGTCATGTTTTTGAGGGCACAGTCGATGTAAGTGCCTTTGCCCAGGTATCGGATCGAAGCGAGATTCCTGATGAAGTTCTCTCTGGTTGTGAGCTGGCTGAAGACCACCTGCTTCTGGGAGAAGTGCAGCCCACCTATGGACCAAGTGATCTGGATATGGCCCCTGTACTCCTCATCAGCCAGCCTCTCGGCAAAGATCTTTGTGAATTCTCTGATACTCTCCACCAGGCTGCCAGGTGGGGGCTCCTGCAATGCGATGGTTTCTGAGGTGTCAATAGTGAAGTACACCCTGATGGGACAGTCGATTATACCTGCTGGAGGAGAAGACAGCTGTTACTTTTAATTAGAAAAATAATTCAATTGTTTTTAGATGCTGAAATGCATCACTTTCATCCTAATTATTTAATACTTGAAACATCATAATAAAAAGCAGCAAATTAATCTGTGTAGTTTGTGTCCTGGGCTGGTTGATTTTGCCAGGTTACACAGATAGAATGAAAATGATGAAAAATGTGAGGACTATAAGACATTTATGTGTTGTGCTGCAGAGATCTAACTACTACTACTACATGCTAAATAGATAGCACAGGCCTCTCAGATTCAAATTTTGCTGACCGGACGCCGTGTTTTTATTTTTTAAGTCTATAATTGTAAATCGTGGTCACTGTGCAAAAATGACTGAAGCTATTTTTTGAAAAGGGACATGAGGGGAAATAACTGGTCAATCATCTGGCTTAGTTTTTGTTTGTTTGTGTTTTTTAGCTGAGCACAGCAAACCAAGATTGTTTAAGATTGTGCAGTCTTGCAGAGGAAAACACATGTTCGCTAAAACGTGTAGAAATTAAAGAGCACATAGGAGCTGGAGCCTTTGCTTCAGGTTATAGAACCATCTTAATATAACCACCTTATTAGAACTACCTTAAGTAGCAATAGCTTGAAGTAATGATTTTTGGTATGATTTTATCAGTCTCTCACATCATCGTCGACAAAATTTGGCCGCTTATCTTTACAGCATTGCATTTACTGAGGTTTGCAGGCATTTCCTTCTGCACAGCTTGTTTCTACCAGAGCATTTCAATCAGATTAAGGTCTAGACATTAACTGTACCATTGCAACAGCTCCATTCTTTGGTTTTCTCAGCCATTCTGTTGCAAATTTACTGCTGTGCTTCCTTTAGCTGAGCTTTAGCTGCATGCTGTCACACAGGTATCCTCACATTTGACTCTAGATTACTTTGGTATACAGAGGATCCAAATACTTTCACAGCTGAATCAATTAAAGTCAAAAAACAACAAAATAAATTACCATTATTTTAACCCAGAAAGAAATTAAGGGAACCTTCACCTTCACAGCCTTCAGGTCTTGGTGTGGGTTCAGGCAAGAGTGGAGGTACCGTTGGCTCTGGACTGTCACCTCGCCCCGGTATTGGTCTGGGTCCTCGAGGTGTAAGTTGAAGGTTTACAGTTTGGACCAGCAATACAAAGACAAACCCTGAAAGCATTGCCATTTTTTTCTGCAAAAAAAGAAAAGAAACGAAACAAAAAAGAAAAACCCAAACAAGACAAGCAGGGATGAATAAAACTGTTCTTCAGAGATTATTTTTGACTGTAAAGCTGTAACTTAATGCAGGAAATAGCTGTCAAACATGTGAGTGTTCACAGAAGGCGTCTACACAGCGCTTAGGAATGTTTAATGTTGTTTTAAGTCATGTCAGTGAACAACCGCACTGTGTGGAAACAGAAGACAGAAGAATGTTTGAAACTGCATGTTTCATCCCACCTGTTTAATTAAACTGAAATCAGAAGGAGCAGGAAAGATTCTGTGGAACTACCATCCCACGAGAGTTACTGTTTGATAAGAGCTGACAAGACGGTGGTGTGTTATTGCTGGTGATAATTTACAATTTTTTTTCTGGAAGTGGAAAATTCCAACAGCATAAACCAACATTAGAAATGTCAAATGAATAAAACTCATCTTAAAACTGCTGGTTAGTGCAACTTCAGTCTGCAGGAGGGGCTTCCAGACTATTTCATGTCAGGAATTTCAAATACAAAAAAACAACAAGATAAAAATCCAACCTGTGGGCGGGGGTGCTGATGTTGATGTTGCACAGAGATGGAATGTAACTTATTTGGTTTAATGCTTCCGCTCTATCACGTCCCAGAGGGCATACTGAACAGTTTTATTCTATTAAAATCATACTGTATTTACATGCTACTTCATACAGCTTGCAAGTACTGAGTTAGGCCCTCTTTTACCTTCAGGACTGACTTAATTCTTCACGGCATGGATTCAACAGGGTGGTAAAAACAATCCACACAAGATTTTGCTCCATATTTAACTGATAGCATCACATCCAAATGCTGCAGCAGGAATAAACTCATCAGACCAGGCAATGTTTTTTACGATCTTCTATCATCCAATTTTGTGCAGGAAAATTCCAGTCAACAGTTTTTTAAACACTCAGATCCTGTCAACAACAACCATGCCATGCTCAAAGTCAACTCTCTTCTCTGTTACCACACTGCACTTGCACTGAAAGCTGCCCAATGCATTCTGAATGCTCCACTTACTTTATTAACATTTCAATGTCAACATGATCAAAAAAATAAAACAAATAAAAAGTAAATCAGAAACGCGACTCTCTGGTAGAGCAGTCCTGTTTAATTTTATTAGATTATACATTATACAGATTATACCTAACAAAGTGTCCTGTGCCGATGCTTAATTGTATTGTTAAATCTTTTATTTAAACACACTGTGTGCCTCAAACGTAGCTTGAGGCACACAATGGCAGAAAAGCCACACACAGGCACACAAAAATAAAAATCTATCTACTTTATACACATTTAGAAGTTAAGAAAAAAACATGTGAAGACTGATTTCAGACACAGGCCCAATTCTAACCTTTAAAACGTAATTTCATGTTTTAGGCAGTTTCTTTTCTTTTCTTTTCTTTTCAAAATAAACATGCAATATAATATATATAAGCATTTAATGAAAATTAATTTATGTTGTCATGTTAAGTGGAGTACTACAGAGATGGAACACCTTTTTCTTTTCTGAAAGAAGTCAAAAAAAAGTTTTTGTTTTACACCACAGAGAATCTAAATATATTCTAAAATTCACATTAACTGTAGGGAAAAAAGAGGTAACCAGAAGATTAATTTATACGGTCTATCAGTCGGTATAGCGTGCAGTACAACCCTTTAAATCTCCGGTAAATTTAAAATAAAATGTAGGCTGCTTACCGAGACGACGGAAAAGAGAAAGTAAACTCCAAGCTGCGATTAGAGACCTACAAGATATTCAAGCAATTTCTACAGATGGTAAACCTGACACACCCGTCTCAGCGGGACTGTTCCCAATAAGAAAACATTAGAGGGGGGACGGAGGGGCAGCTCTGGGTCGTTTGCGAACGAGCGCTAGAGACGCAGGCGTCACTGGAGAAAGAGAGATGTTCAGATGATTGTTTGCTGGCAGCTGGAGATCAGCAAGGTCTCCAGGACAGGTCTGGAGACTTAAGAGGTTTCGAATAAATAGAAAAGGCTGAAATAAGCCATTTATCCACCTGATCAGACGGATTCAATGTCAGAGTCACAGCAGATTCTCTCTAATGGCAGCTTTACAAACACATCAGCTCCCAGTGCTACATATCCTTACATGGAGACAGCTGCTCACACTCACCCCCTCTGTTTATGTTTCAAGGCTATACAGCGTGAGAGATGTCATGCTGGAATTTAAGTGCAGAAGCTTTATTCTTTTTTACCATACTTTCACTTTATCCAGTTATTAGATCAGACTGTTGAAAGGAAAATCAAATGATGAGTGTTTTCTGCCTCCAGCCTGTCAAAGATGAGGATTGACTGCTTTTCTCACTTTAAAATCAAAGAGACAAAGAAAGATGCTGACAATGTGAAAACCGAGCATGCAGTTTACTTTAATTAGCACGTTTTTGTTGTTTGTTTGTTAAAGAAATGTTCCTATTTCCATTTTCTGGGTACATTTTCATGAGGTCTAATTAAAAAAAATGTATATATTTAATATATGGAGGCGTGTTTGCATCCACATGTACCTGGTCTTTACCTGTAGTTCAGTGAGAAAGCCAGCATCCACCGGTCCTACTTTGGCAAAACGTCCTACCGTAAGTAGTTTATGCACATTTCTGCTGTCACAGAGTAATTCCAACACAAATGTAAGTAGGTATTACGGTTTGCCACTTAACTTTTCCCATCAGAGTATGCTTGTAGCTCATATTAATAAAGCCAGGACGGTTTGCCACTTCATTTTACCCGTTAAACTATGCTTGTCGGTCACATTCACAAAGGTAGCATGGTTTGGCACTTTACCCGTCAGAGTATGTTTCTAGCTCATATTCACAAAGGTAGGACGGTTCGCCACTGGATTTCGTGTTGTGCGCATGCGCAGAAACAAGGGTAGGGTGGTTTGTCAGGTAGGATGGATTCCTAGAACACCCTGTCCACTTGGCCACAGTGTGCCCTTCACATGAACGTGGACCCGCTCATCAAACCTTTGCTCCACAGCGCCACCAGTGGTCAAAACAAAGCAGTTTAATTTTTTCGTTACATTTAAGCTCTCACGGGGCATTTTATTAAGTACACAGTACCTAGTACCGGTTTGACCCCCTTTTGCCTTCAGAATTGCTTTAATCCTTTGTGGCATTACAACAAAGGGCATTTTACATCACACAGCTGCACATGCGTGATGTGAATGTCCTGTTCAACCACATACCAAAGATGCTCAATTTGACTGAATTCTGGTGACTCCACATGCCGTTTGAGTTACACTGAACTTGTTTTCCATGTTCAAGATGACATTTTGAGATGATCTGAGCTTTGTGACATGGACAACAACAGCAAGTACGATGGTGTAAGATAAGGATGGTAAGCAACAATACTCGGGTAGACTGTGGCATTTAAATGATGCTCAGTTTGAACTTCAGCAGGTCGTCTTCACCATGTCTAAATGAACTGAGTCGCTGTCATGTGACTGAAATGATCAGGCCAATAAAGTGGCAGACGAGCAGATATTTTCATTATTATTTTCCAGTTTTAATAATAATTTGCAGGTGTGCTAGCATCAGCAAAAGTATATGTCACAGTCAGTGGATAAAGACAAAGTTTTCCTATTTGCTGTATAAGGTCACATAATCTGTGAGATGACAAAACAAACACTGGAGTCTGCAGGACTATTTGGACCGTAACTTTATACCATGAAAACGTGGCCCACCAGAGGTAAAATCAGTCATGCACACACCATTTAAGTGGATAAAAACGACTGAGTGGGCTCAGTGTCTCTTAAAAGTCAAGCCTAATGCAGTGTCTTAAATATGCATTCCTTACAATGGCCAGCAGGGGGATACTTTGGTTGCACAATGAAATCAAATTGTACAGAAACCTTTGGGAAAATGACCTTACTGCTCAGTTATACTATAACCTCAGTAATCAGTTTTAAAATTGGATCATGGTTTCATTGCATTAAATAAATATTTCATATTTGTGGTCGACCATGTTGGATACTGTAGAGACAAACATATGGTATTCTTAAGAGGAGTGGCTACCCCGTGATTGACAAGTCTCAACACATGAGCCTGCAGTCTCAGTTTCTCAGTATGAGCAGAGATCTTCTAATATAATCAAGAACTCTCAGCTGATCTTCTTTAAACAACAGTCCATAAAGATTTGGGAACTGAGGAGACCAGCTGCTGGACCTTTGGGAGAGGAATATTCTCCCATTCTTGTATGATATCGGATTCTAGCTACTCAGCTTGTCAGCCTTTTGTTTCCCCCCTTCCCAACCTTTTGAAGATGTGCTGGTATAAAATTCAAAATGAGCTAGTATTTTTCATTAAATGATAAACACCTTAGTTTAAGTACTTGATATATTTTCTGCATTTTACTGTGAATACAATTTGGGTTTATAAGATGTGAAAATCACTGCATTCTTTATTTTCAAATGCACATTTTACAGTGTCCCGACTTTGTTGAAACTGAGGTTACACATCTGGGATGAAAATCTCCATAAAAAACCCCCACGAAAAAAACATGTGTACTTATCCAACAGTCATTTAAAACCACATTTAGATAAAAAAAATCCAAAAAATAAAATCAAATTTTTCTGATGTAGAAAGACCCGCCAGGACTTTGAGACCTTATATACTTTACTATACCATATTATTATAGTATATATTAATAATATACTACATAAATTATTGTGACATACAATTTCAATTGAATTATAAGTTAGCATCATCATTATACTTTTTAAAGTTTAAAACTTTTTAAATAAAATCCTTTTTTAAAAAAAAGAAATTCTTTAGAAAGACGCTGGAAAGGTTTAGAAGATACTCCAAACTCTTCCCGTGATAGCATCCATTTGTTCATCATGATGCAGTAAAGATTATGAATCTTCTATTCTAGTAGTTTGTCTTCAGATAACGTCCAGTTTCCAGGTAATAATTCGGACAGCAGTGAATCAGGGAAGTTTGTAGTTTTCTGTTCACTGCAAACACGATGTCTCAGCATCCAACTGGAGTTACAG